TGATCGAGGGGACACACGCAGGGACCAGGGTGTCACCCAGCACTGTGTCTGCTCCAAAGGGTCTCAGTAACAGCCTGATGATCATAGAATCCCAGAATGGTTTGGGTTGGAAGGGACCTTAAAGATCATCCAGTTCCAACCCCCCTGCCATCAGCAGGGACACCTTCCACTAGACCAGGTTGCTCAAAGCCTCATCCAGCCTGGCCTTCAACACTTCCAGGGAGGAGCAGCCACAGCTTCTCTGGGCAACCATGATCTCTGCATGAGGATTGTAGGTGCCCAGGCAGTGCAGTCCCAACCCTGTGCACATTGTGCCCAACCTGATGACAGTTCTGTTGTGTCCCCAGGTGGCCAAGGACGTCTCCATGCGGCTCCACAATGAGCTGGAGGCTGTGGAGAAGAAGAGGATAAGGCTGGAGGAGGAGAACGAGGACCTGCGCCAGCGGCTCATTGAGACAGAGCTGGCCAAGCAGGTGGTGCAGAACGAGATGGACAAGCTCCGAGAGGTGAGGGGGACATGGCAGGGGGGACAGAGAGGCATCCCCAGGGCTCTGCCCTTAGCAGGTGTCCTGGCCCTGCACCATGGGATCCCCCATCCCTGCTCGCATCGCTGAAACCCAAACCCTGCTGCAGATGCTTGTGAAACATGAGCAGTGGGGCAGTGCCTGCCCTCGGCATCCCACCCTGCAGCACGAGGTGGCTCAGCCCCCTCCCAGGGAGGCTACAGGACATCCCCCCCTGCCCTGGAGCCACTTTATGTGTCCTTGGCCACTTGCTCAGCCTGGCCACCCGGGCTGTGCCCAGCTCCCAGGTCTGCACAGTGTGTGGAGTCCACCGTGTCCCTGGCACAGGGCCCAGTGCTGGCCGTATCCTGACTCCATGCTGCTGGTTCCAATCGGGCTGAGCCACAGGGCTGCATGGCAGCGATGTCCCAGCGATGTCCCAGTGACATCCCAGTGGTGCTGCACAGCTGAGTGGGTGCCCAATCCCATCTGTGTCCTGGGAAGCCGTGTGCCACATGTGTACCCATATGCACAGGTCCAGGGCAATCCATGCCACGCCAGGTTTAGGACCAGCTCCCAGCCAGGAGCAGTGTCACCCTCGGTGACAGGAAAGGCATCCCGGTGACAGCGTGGGCTTGTGATCCATCGCAGCACTTGTAACCCACTTCCCTACTGCCCGGGATGCCTTTGGTCCCTGGGGAGCCTCGGGAAGCGTGGCTGGCTGAGCCATCAGCGCAGTGCATGGGAGGAGACGTGCTGTGGGCCCTGCTCCCACCAAGGACGGGGAGGTGACACAGGGAGGGCTCTCTCTGTCCCCAGCCATGTTCCCTTGTGCAGCAGGGCAGGGAGCCAGCACTCAGCATGGCATCTCCACAGCCAGATCCAGTTAACGCCGGGGCCAGCTCCTGGTGAGCATCAGGACCCGGATATGGTTGCACCCATCCCCTCTCCAGCCATCTTCTCACAAGGTGGCACGGAGCAGCGTCACCCCAGACGAGGTGTCTTGTCCCTGCACCGCACAGTCTCTGCTAACAGGCGTGAAATGGGTTTCCCTGCAACCGGCGAGCGCGGGCTGGATAACAAATGGAAGCAGCAGGAGCTAAGCAGAGAAAATGGTTGTGTGGTCAGTGCACAGGGAGAGCTGAGCACCAGCTGCTGCCTTGCCCTGGCAAAAGAGCGTGGGCAGGATACGGCCCCTCGCTGCAGCTGCCTGTGCCCAAAGGGGACGCTGCAGGCTGGCACGAGACCCAGCACAGCTCCCTGAGCCTGGGGACGGATGGTGTGTCCCCAGGCGAGCAAGGGCATTGGGGTTACTCACTGATTGCAGAGCGTTAATTAGACAAACGAGTGAGTTCACAGCCTCCCTCCGCCTCCTCCCTGCTGCTGGAGGGTGCGGAGCTGGCAGAGCTCGTTAGCAGCCAAGCCAAGGTGGAGCAGAGGCTGCACAGGGCTGGGCTCACCCCTCAGGGCTGATTATTTCTCCTTTCCAAGAGGTTTCTCCCATAATTGGATAATTGTCAGGATGAGCAAATTGTCCCCAAAGGCGTCTGTGTGTTTGTCACGGCATTTCCTGGGGGACAGGAGAAAAGTGGGACGGGTCCAGGTACCCCATGCCAAGCCTACCGCATCAAGCTCAGCTGTGGTGGGACTCCTGGGCACAGCCACCCCAAGGGCTGCACTCAAGGTGGAGCGATGACAGCTCACGTCTGACCTGGGGTGCTGTGCTTGGGGCTGCTCAGGGCCGGGCGATGCCCTTTGCCAGCCCCGGTCCCCAGCACGGTGGGGGTGAGAGATGCCGACGTGGCACAGCCAGCCCCTGGGAGAGGCTCTGCAGCAGCAGCCGGAGCTCCAGCGATGGTCCTGGCCTTAATAGGAAAGCCTGGAGCCCGGCACCTTGGCACAGGCAGCAGCTTACATTTCACAGCTGCTTTCTTTGGCTGCTGGGGCCTCAGCACCAGCTTGGAAATAGGACCAGGGTGGCCGCGTGGATCGGCCGGCGCTCGACGGAGGCTGTGTGGATGCTCTGGAGCATTTTCCCCCAGGTTCCCTACCCAGATAATTGGCCCTGCTCTGGGCACCCACTTTTTTCCCCTACTTCCAGTCTCCCTTATTGCCCTATCTGGCCTCTCCATCTCCCAGCTGTCCTTGCTAGCCTGGAGATTGTCCCTTGTGTTCCCTGAGACCCTGAGGGCAGAGTTGGCACGTCATCCTCTGCTGCTCCCACATTGAGATGCCCAGAGAGCCCCATCCCTTGGCCTGGGGGTTGGATTCCCTGCTCCATTGTGACTCAGCCGCTGTTTCCTGTTCACTCACTGCTCACTTGCCTGTGGGGGAAATTTCTGGGCAAACCCCATGATACGAAGCTTTCCAGGCCCCCAAAGCAAAGGGCCTCAGCCCACCGGGGCTGTGGCATTTCTCCTGGGCTGGAGAAGTTGGTGTTGGTGTCCACTCGTGCCAGGTCTGTCTGTCTGTGCCAGGGTGTTGTGCCATGGCTGCAGGTAACAGCTCCCTCTTTTCTCCACAGAATTCCCTGAAGAAACGGGGGTCTCGCTCCATTGGAAAGACCGAGAAGAAGCCATCAGTGCAGGTATCAGCACCGGCACATTCGGGGCATGTCGTGGTGGCACCATGACTTGGCACCCCACGTCATGGTGCCAGCTGGAGACTATGCCTGGCCCAGAAGTAAATCTGGACATGGCAGCACCATCCCCTCGAAGGGCTTTTCTGCCTCTCAGAGACCCTGCATAAGGGAGGGATTGATGAGCTGGGCCATCCTCTTTGTCCTCAGCCCTCCCTTGTCTCATTTATCAATGGAGCATCAGTGGCTGGTCGGTGGCTTTAACCCTTTCCGTGTGTCAGGGCTGCAGTAAGAGCTGAAGGACTTTGGCTTTGACATTGCAAAGCCGCTTCTGCTCTTGGGTTGTGGCTGTTGTAGCCTGGGTCCCATCGGCCGGCACCAGCAGCCATGCTCAAGGGTCCCCAGGAGCCCCACAGGGTCTGGGGGAGCTGAGGGTCCCTATGGGGAAGGGCTCCAGGGTGCCCAGGAGCCCCATGGGGTCTGGGGGAGCTGAGGGTCCCCACGGGGAAGGGCTCGAGGCTGAGCTGTCCCTGCCCCACGCTGGGGCAGGGCAGGGGAGGGGGATTTGCTGGTGGCAGCAGGATTTCAGCTGTTCACTTGCTGTTGGGCTGAGCTGCTGTGACTCACTAATGCTGTCACTGGGGCTCAGAATTGCAAGTGTTTTAATGAAGGAAAAATCCGTGGGGGAGCTGAGGGTCCCCACGGGGAAGGGCTCGAGGCTGAGCTGTCCCTGCCCCACGCTGGGGCAGGGCAGGGGAGGGGGATTTGCTGGTGGCAGCAGGATTTCAGCTGTTCACTTGCTGTTGGGCTGAGCTGCTGTGACTCACTAATGCTGTCACTGGGGCTCAGAATTGCAAGTGTTTTAATGAAGGAAAAATCCGCTTTCAAAGGCAAAAGACCTGCAAGGTTTATTTTGGGGAGTAGATCTGCTCCCCCAAAGCTGGGGCAGGGAGGAGGACACCC